CACAGTGTTGGGAAGGTTACTTTGGAAATGTAATAGGTTACAGATTACAAGTTACCCTACTTAAAATGTAACAAGTAGTGTAACTTTTCAATTACTTTATTAAAGTAATGTAACTGATTACATTTGATTACTTTTTGATTTCTTTGCGAATCGCGTTTGCTCTTCCACAGGAGAGGGGCGGGGCGAGCAGAGCTCATTAGCATGTAAAGAGAAATGCACCGAAACGAGTCGCTGTGAACAGAGCTGTTTTTGACACACAGCACTCCAGTCCATCAGTTAACATCTGGAGAAGACAAGAAGTCCGTAATCCATAATAACGCTTCCTCCAGTGAAAAAGTGTTTAAATTAACTGATGGACTGGAGTGCTGTGGATTATTGTGGATTATTGTGATGTTTTTATCAGCTGTTTGGACTCTCATTCTGACGGCACCCATTCACTGCAGAGGATCTATTGATGAAGAAACAAACTCATCTACATCTTAGATGGCCTGAGGGTGAGCACATTTTCAGCTATTTTTAATTTTTAGGTGAACTATTCCTTAAATCTATTATTTTTTTGATTAATCTAACAATATCTTTGCCACCTCATAAATCTGGTTAGTTAATTAATCCTTTGGTTATCTTACCAATAAATAACATTAACTTATTCAATTAACCTTTTATTCAAATACTTACTTTACAATTAATATTCTCCCAATATAATGAAATGAAGTGCCAAGAATTAGAAGGCATTTATTTATTTAGAATTAGAAATAAAAATGTCCACGAGTCCAACATAAATTCAACCCAACAATGGCTAGTACTGATAATAACCAAAAATGCATTTGTATTTTTTTATATATGTGTATATATATTTCTGATGAAGACTCTGGACTCGTATGGAGATGATTACAGGACAGCACAGCTCACCATCACACTGGAGGTGAGAAACACGCTGATGATCCACAGCTCAAGCTTCATTTAAACTGTTTGACATATAGCTGTTCACACCCAATTCTGATCTTCAATAGTAATGAATCTATTTGTTCTAAGAGTGTAGTTCATATCAGTGGCTGATGGCACATTAAACACTCGATGTGTTCATACAGGATGAAGGGAAGGCAGGTTTAGATTCAGCTGTGGGTGCTGATGAAGACAGCTCTTCTCCAACGTTTCCTCATCAGTCAGCAGCTGGACCAAAGAAAAAGAGGCACCGGGTCCCAAAGGACCGAAAGCGAGACGCACAGGTATGAGACACCCACGACATCGGTTTAAAGAATAGAAACCAGTTACTGACCAAACATTTAGATTGTTTTTGAAAGAAGTCTCTTCTGTTCACCAAGGCTGCATTCATTTGATCAAAAACAAGTGTTTTCTGTGTGAATATATTATAAACTGTAATTTATTGCTGTGATCAAAGCTGTATTTTCAGCATCATTACTCCAGTCTTCAGTGTCA